TATATATATATATACACATATATACACATATATATACATATATACACATATATATATACATATATACACATATATATACACATACACAAAATGCATGGTGACACATGTCTATAATCCCAGCTACTCAAGAGGCTGATGGAAGAGGATCACAAGTTTTAGGCCAGCCTGGGCAATTTGGTAACACTGTCTCAAAAGGGCTGGGACCAGGTGTAATGATGCAGGCCTGTGATCCAGCACTTGGGAGGCTGAGGCAGGAGGATCATCATGAGTTTGTGGCCAGCCTGGACTATATAATGAGTTCAAGGCCAGCCTGAACTACACAGCAAGACCTTAACTCAAAAAAATGAAGAAAAAGGAGAGGGGCCCAGGGATGTAGCTGAGCACTAGAGCACTGCCCTAAGATATGGAAACCACTGTGTTCAGTCCCTAGCACCATAAAACAAAACCGTGGATAAACTATACAACTAGATTAAGAATAAATGAGGATAATGATAGATTTGTTTATTCTATTGGTACATTTTTTTCTCCTATTTTAGCTTTGGTATTCTAATAATCAAAAGTTTGATTTAAAAGTATTCTAAAGTCTGGCATGCTAAGAGATGACTTTCTAATTTGGAGAAATTTTAAGGGTAATATTTAAATGTTTGGATTCTTCTGTAGGTATGTGAAGTATACACACTTCATAGGGAAACATTTTATCTTGCACAAGACTTTTTTGATAGATTTATGTTGACACAAAGAGATATAAATAAAAACATGCTTCAACTTATTGGAATTACCTCATTATTCATTGCTTCCAAACTTGAGGTAAGTTGTTAAAGTTCATATTATCACCAAACTATTTTTTTTTTTTTTGACAAACACATTAATCCCACAGAGTACTGTCATTTTGATAGAAATTCCTTAGGTGAGTGGTTTCCTCAGTACATTTTCTGAACATTCTGATGCAGATAGAAGGAAAAAATTATTGTAGTTTCTGAGCCTATTACATGTCTCTGGTTTAGATTCGAGGGTTACTATGTGAGATGATCCATGACTCATTCTGCCAAACAAAATATATCAGTGCTATCTTTATATACATAACTGTGGCACTTGGATTCACTAGAATGGCCTTTGAAAACTACACAGTGAGTCAAACAAAAGAAATGCTATTTGGGGTTGGAATAATGGTTTAACCAGTCTAATATTTTTATATCCACTGCTGGTGTCACGCTAGGAAGCAGCTCCTTTCCTGTCTGAGGTTTTCCTTCACATAATCACAATCTACTTTTCTTAAGTAATACACTGTGGACATCATCAATACGTTTTACAGCTGGGATTATTTTGAGGGTAGAGATGATGATCATAGTTAATTTCCTGAAGTTTTTCTTCGAAGTATGTCCTTTGAGCTTTAAGAGCTGTTGCCAAATTTGGCACATGTAGACAGCCTGTCCTTAGCTGAGAAACACTGTTTCAGGTCCCTTTCCCAATCCGACTGCAATCCTGATAGCCTATACAGGAGGCCTCTCTTAATCTTTAGATCAGTCCAGATTTTCTCTGAATTGCCACAACACACCTGTTGCCCAACTGCATATAGTTTTGTGTTTATTTTCCTGAGTGATGGCGATCAAACCTGGAGCGTTCTCACTGAGCTACATCCCCAGCTTTTTTTTTTTTCTAGAACTTCACATTTTATTGAGATTCCTAAGTAATTTTTAAAAATTTTTAATTGACAGATGTTACTTGTACATTACACTGTGATATTTTAATACATAGACAAAATGTGTAAAATAAAATCAGGGAAATTACCTTACTCATTACCTCAAATATTTGTCAATTCCTGGGAAGATTCAGAATCTCTCTTTTTTGAAATGTGCAAGAAATTATTGTTAGTTTTGATCATTCTCCAGTGTTACACAACACCAGAATTACCCTGTATAATTAATTTTTGCACATCCCCAGCTTTTAAAAAGAACTTTCCGAGACAAGTCTTGCTGAGTCACTTTGCTGCCCAGTCTGGGCTCCAATGTGCAGTTCTCCTACTTTAGCCTCCCAGAGTGCTGAGATTACAGGTGTGAGCCACACAGTGTCTTTTCATTGTTGTTTTTACTTTTATTTTTTGTACTTCTGGGGATTGAACCTAGGGCCAGGCAAGCTCTCTACCACTGAGCTGCCCAGTATTTTTTATTAACCATAGTTTTGTACTGAGGTAAAGAAATATTTTTAATTTCTAGACCTTGTTTGTTGCGTGTTTTGAGTTGACCAACATACCAGGCAATCTTAAAACAAGTTGGCTTTTTTTTTTGAGCACAGGGTCTTGCTATATAGTTCAGACTGGTCTTGAACTCACTATATGTCCCAGACTGGCCTGGAACTCATGGTGATCCTCCTGCCTCAGCCTCAGTGCTGGGATGACAGGCGTGCACCACCACACCCAGCAAGCTTTTTATCTTTTAACTAGTTAAGATAATCTAGTTGTTTATTAACTAAAATTTAAAGTTCTAGGAAAATAAGTCTTCATAATCAATAGTTGATAATTTAGAAGCCTACATAGGAAAAATATCTTAAATATAAGGTTGTTTTAGCTATATAGTGTAATTATTTTACTAAGATTTATAATCAATTTGTGAAGTTCTCATTAAAACTGAAGGTTGTGTATGGTTAATATATAGTTCTTTTGTTTTAATTGCAATCTCAATTGTGGTTAATAAAAATTTCAATTTAAAGGAAATCTATGCTCCCAAACTCCAAGAGTTTGCTTATGTCACTGATGGTGCTTGCAGTGAGGAGGATATTGTAAGGATGGAGCTCATTATATTGAAGGTAATATTGTGTCTTTATTTCTACTTGCACCTTAGTAATACAGTAGTTATGAAATAACCACCAATACTAAAATGTCAATCAAAACAGGTTTTACTTATTACCATCCAGTTTTAAGAGGTTAATGCATCAAAATACTGACAGTAGCTATGGCTGGAGGGAAATTTGCTTAACCTGTAAACTCTCTATATAATGTGTTATATGTGTGTACGTCTGTTAATAGGCATTTTTTATTTATTTATTTTTTTGGTACCAGGGATCAAACTCGGATCCTTGCGCTTGCAAGACAGGCCACAGAACCACTGAGCTAAATCCCCAGCTCCATTAACAGGCATTTAAAAAAATACTTTTATTAGTCCAGGTTTGCAGTATGTGATTACATTCATTATGGGTGACGTGTACATGAATATAACAGTATTTTGACTGCCTCCTTTCCCTCCAACCCTTCTTTCCCTCCCCACTTATATTTCTATTTTTTCTTACTTTAAATCCCTTTTCGCTTCCTTCCCTCCCCTCTCCTCCCATCTTGTTCCCCTTCCCTTTTGAACAAATTCTTCCTACTTCCCAATACCTATCCCCCACTTTGCTCCTTATTTATACTTGAGTTTCTCACACAAGTGAAGCCATGTGACATTTAAGCTTGTGCTCATGATTTATCTCACTTAAGATTATGGTCTCAAGGTGTATCCATGTACCTAAAAATGCCTCATGTTTGTCCTTTATGGCAGAGTAGTGTTCCATTGTATTTCAATAGCATGTTTTCTTTATCCGTTCCTTTGTTCGTGGGTATATGGGATGTTTCCAGGGATTAACTGTTTTAAATTGTGCTGCTATAAACATGGGTGTTAACAGGCATTTTTAAATTTCATTAACAGGCTTTAAAGTGGGAACTTTGTCCTGTCACAGTCATCTCCTGGTTACATCTCTTTCTTCAAGTTGATGCTCTTAAGGATGCTCCTAAAGTTCTTCTACCTCAGTATTCTCAGGAAAGCTTCATCCACATAGCCCAGGTATTGACGGTGTTACTAAAGATACCCTGATGTCATTGTCAGTTCCAGATCTGTTCATGTATAGTCTAAGTAGGCTACACAACAAAGTAATGGCATATTGAATTAAATTCTCTTAATTGACTTACAGCAAAACTTTTGACACATAAAATACTTTCTCAAATATTTTCACTGCTTAGTAATTCTAGAAAACAAAGTCCTTAAATTTCTATGAGTACTCTCATTCTTAGGAGTCCAAAATAGTTAAATATCTTTTTTGCTATAAAATGGAAAAATCTTTTTAGCCAAAAAATCTTTACGCTTTAAAATGGTATTATTCTATCATTCTTATTCTTTTTATACTTGAATACAAAGGCTACCTACTTGTTACATGCCAGTAGAATTTAAATCACCTTTATATAATAGGATTTTTCAAAACAAGTCAAATTTAATTTTCAGTATATAACAAATATATATAACAGTATATAACAAATGTTCTAACAAAGTAGAGGAGAAGGATCCCATTCTGTTGCCTACTGCTTGTAAGTAATTTTTTTTCTTTCAGCACTGGGGATTGAACCCAGGGAGCAGTGAGCTACACCCTTTTCATTTAAATTTTGAGACAGGGTCTCACTAAGTTGCCCAGATTCAGTGAACTACTTGTAGTCCTCTTGCCTCAGCCTCTTGAGTATGCCACAGTGCCAGGCTTTATAACTACTATCTTAAGGCTGCAGTATCTACCATGTACAAAAAGGAAGAAACTCTTAATTCTACATAGGATGTGAAAACATTACCTATGGAATAGAAAGATTATGGCCTTTTGGAATGAAGGTTAAAATTTGTGTTTTAAATCTAACAAGCATATTATGAATGTTAAAATGGGACAACCAATAATGTTGGGATTGCTTCATTATATAAAAGTTTCTAAGAAAGGCTCACTAATTTTTTTCAGTCAGAATTCCCAGCATTTCATTTTCACAGGCAACTATACTCTTTTGATGGGGAGGGTAAACTGATAACATGGAAAATTTCTAGAAGTATAATAGAAGTTGAACATCCCAAATCAAAAACTGAAATGCTCCAAAATTGAAAAATATTTGAATGCCAACATGATACTGCAAGTAGAAGATTCTATACTTGACAGGGCAGTCAAAATGTAGGTACACTGAAAATATAGTATTAGTCAGGCTATGTTTATATTTCCATCCTATCCCCAAGAAATCTCATATATATGCAAAAACTACAAACATAAATGAATTCCACGTTTAGACTTGCATCTCATCCCTAAGAAATCTCATGTATATGTAGATCCTTCAAAATCTAAAATCCCAAACACTTCTAGCCCCAAGCATTTCTGATAGGCAAAAAACCCAACCTGTGATATTATTTCTTCTCTTTTCCTGTTTATTACCTTCTGGACCAATGAGGGCCAGTGTTTTGTTTCACTGGACAGACATCACTTCAAACCTTTGAATTCTAGTCCTCTTACCCACCCCACTGCTACCTGTTCAGTTCTCTTACTTCCTAGACTACACCATTTAGCTACTCTCATTGCTTAGAAACATGTTCCATTCTAGTCTGCAGCCCCACTACAGTCTAAAGTATTTCTCTTGAAATGTTAACTTTCCTGACTTAAAGTCTTTGATAGTTTCAGTAAACTACAGAATAACCTTTTGACTTCCTAAAGGCCCCTTATGATCTAATCTAGGTTTCTCTAGCTACTTTTTTTCTTAAATTCTTTTATTGGTACAGTTTAGATAAACAATACGTTTACATTTATCATTGGGTGTTTATACCTGTACATGATGTATCTTGGTTCTTTTTTCCCCATTACCTGTCTGTCCTTCACCGCCCCCTTCCCTATTTACATAAGACTTTGTTTCCATTTTTTCCTTTTCTCATAATTTTTCCTTTCCCCTTCCCCTCCCACTTCCCCTACCCCTTTGGACCTTTTCTTCCTATTTCCAATTATCAATTATTCGTTTTAATCATTTTAATTCTTATTTACACTTTCAGTTTCTCACACTAGAGAAACTATTTGGTATTTACACGTGTGTCCTATTTATTTCACTTAAGAGTATGTCCTCAATATGCACCCATTTAGCATAAATGTCTCTATAGTTTCTCATTTTTTATGGCTGAGTAGTACTCCATTTTATAAAAATACCCACATCTTCTTTATCCAGTTTCCAGTTGATGGGCAGTTGGGCGCTATTTCCAAGCTTTTGCTATTACGAACTGTGCCGCTATAAACATGGGTGCACATATATTGCTGTGGTATGATTCTTTTAATTCTTTTGGGAAGACAGCCAACTGGGGAATAGCTGGGTCAAATGGGACCTCTAGTCCTAGTTCTTCGAGGTATCTCCATACTGATTCTACAGTGGTAGCTACTCTTTTGCATAAGAATTGAATGAAGAGCCGGGTTTGGTGGCACACACCTGTAATCCCAGCACTTGGGAGGCTGAGGTATAAGGATCGCCAAGAGTTCAAGGCCAGGCTGGACTACATATCAAGACCCTGACTCAAAAAAAAAAAAAAAATACTGAAAGTTAGTCATAATTTTCACCTCAGGTGCTCTGAACTACTTGCATTCCAAGTAATTTTCTTCTGCTTTTATGAACATTGTTTACCTCCCATTCTTCCTAGCTACCACATCTTTTATGATTCATTTAAGGGACCAGAAGCCCTGTCTTTTCTAGTCTAGTGTGGTGCCTTTCCTGCTAGTTCTCAACAGTCCACATTGCAGTAATTCTTCCCTTGTCTAGTCACTCTGACCTACAGTCCCAAGACTTGACTTCCTTTGATAGATTATTTATCTTTGAATCCTCTGAGTTTCAGCAATTCTGGAATATGGTATATATAATAAGACTCCCAAAATGTTAGCTGACTGATTTTAGTAGGGACATCTAATACTCACCCTTCTCCTGTCTTTTGCTTTTCCTTTCTTAGCTTTTGGATCTGTGTATTCTGGCCATTGACTCATTAGAGTTTCAGTACAGAATACTGGCTGCTGCTGCCCTGTGCCATTTTACCTCCATTGAAGTGGTTAAAAAAGCCTCAGGTAAGACCTGACATTTTGCTGTCTTCCTTTTCATAACTTCTAATGGGATTGTAACCTATGAATTTTAACATACTGCCAAGCATTGGTTAAATGCAGGAGTCTAGTGATTTTCTTCATTATAACACTTCACTATCTTCAGTATCACAAAAAATAAGGCCAGATGGATCTTAAATCTATTTTAAGTGAATCAACACAATTATAGGTCCGCTTTAAGAATTCTTTAAGTGCATGCCTATAATTTCAGCACTTGGGAGGCTGAGGCAAGAGGACTGCTGAGTTAGAGGCCAGCTTGAACTACACAGTGAGACACTGTCTCCAAAAAAAAAAAATTCTTTAGAATTTGGTAATTTCAATTTATATATAGAAGATACTGGTTAAGAGGGTCTTACAACCTTTTACAAATTAATGAAGTCATGCTATAATAGTTTCAGTGGTATTTTAATCTGCTAAACCTGATTTTAATTTGTTGTGGTTTTTTAAAAAATGAGTCTTTAAGTTGAAGGAAATACATAATATAATATGTAAGATGATCAGGCAGATACAAGATAGTTTCTGATGTAGTCTTCACATTTTTCCAACTTCTTAAATCCAGGTTTGGAATGGGACAACATCTCAGAATGTGTAGATTGGATGGTGCCTTTTGTCAGGGTAGTAAAAAGTGCTAGTCCAGTGAAGCTGAAGACTTTTAAGAAGATACCTGTGGAAGACAGACATAATATCCAGACGCATACAAATTATTTGGCCATGCTGGTATGTTTTTTGTGGGTTTTTGTTTCATCTTGCTCTCTCAAAAGTCCTAAAACTGATAGTAAGGATATACTAGGAATCGCTTCTCGGCCTTTTGGCTAAGATCAAGTGTAGGATATACTATGAAATACCACTTCCTTCAGTGAAGGCTAAGGGGAAATTATTTTGAAATCAAATTAAAATTTGAATTTTCTCAAGATCAGTACTAATAGTTTAGGTAAGTGTTTAAAACATACACTATACGTTACAGGTAGTTCAAACTGAACTTTAAGAATGACTTCAAAGTTGCAAGGATGTAGATCATTACATTAGGTCTGAATAGTCAGACCTAATAGTAGACAGGTAAAGGTCTGGAATGACTTTGTTTTACTGTATCAATATTTTTTCTTAAGTTTTAATTGCTGTATGATTTCTTCACATATACAGGATGAAGTCAGTTATGTAAACAGCTTCAGAAAAGGGGGACAGCTGTCACCAGTTTGCAATGGAGGCATTATGACACCACCAAAGAGCACAGAAAAACCACCAGGAAAACACTAAAGATGTCAGCTAAGCAAATAAGTTGGAAGTGAGCAATATTAGCTTGAATGTACTAAAGTTTTACAAGAAAACAGCTTTGATTACCATTGCCAATTCAGACATTACACTGCCATTCTTTTTTAGAAAAACACTTAAAATTGGCACTAAATATACTTCCTATATTAGCTGTGAAAGAAACAGCAGGACATGTTTACAAAGATGACTTCATTTCCAGGGTTACTGGACAGAAGCCAACCATGATTTATGCCATGGAAACTTTTTTTAATGCAGTGTTGTTGTGTCGTGATAAACTAGGAATTTTATCATTGGTGTTTCGGACTAGGTAAGTGCTACCTTAAAGGGTACATTCAGTGATACAGTACTTTGAATCTAGCTTTTAGATTCTTAAAATTCCTATACTCTAGCGCAATTTGGTTTTTGAAAATAAAATTTAAATTTGTTTATAAAGATTTAGTTTTGTAATAAGGTGACTAATTTATCTAAAGCTGTCGTAGGAAGCTATTATAAAACTTGAATTTTTACAAATGGTGAAATTAAATTTGTTTTTAATCAGTAAGGTGTCAATAACATGATGTTTAAATTGCTCTGAACAGTGGGAGTACCAAAGAAATTATAACAAGATGGATGTTGTGGCTCCTACTTGGGGCTTTGACATAGGTTGCTTTATAGTAACTTTTTTGTATATCACAATTTGGGTGAAAAACTTAAGTACCTTTTCAAACTATTTATATGAGACAGTCACTTTATTACTCTTAGGATATCCCTATGGATTTTTTTATTTAGCATGACTAAGGCTTTATTTATGTTTCCAAAATATTAAAAGTCCATTTTCAATTCCTACATTATGAGGACAGTGTCAAAATTTTAAGTTTTAACATCTGACCTGAATTTCTATTTTCTTACAGCCGAAAAATATTAAATGTATCTAGAAATCTATTTATTAAAAAAATGACTTGACAGGGCCGGGGATTTAGCTCAGTGGTTCCGGCATCTGCCTTGCAAGCACAAGGTCCAGAGTTCGATCCCCGGTACCCCCCCCCCAAAAAAAATAATAATAACTTGACATAGAACTTGCTGTATATATGCTAGCTACTTCTACATAAATATTTTAAATCAGCCTTTTTTAGAGATAAATTCAGTCTTGAAAAGTAGATTTAATTAGAAAGTTATACCAGACTGCTAGTTTTACCAGACATGTGAATTTCTTCTATCTTTGAAGAAATTGTAATTAAAGCTATTGTTAGTCTTCTATATAGTTTTTGTTTTTAAATTAATGTTTCAGTATTTTGTCTGAAAAGAAAACACCACTAAATGTGTATATATGTATTATATAAACAATTTTTAATACTATTTTTAGTCCACTGTTTAAAAATAAAAGCAAAATGTTTTTAACTGCTTAAAAGTAAAGTTTTGCCATTGCTTGGAGAAACTTTTTTTTCCTTCTCTGTGCCGCCAGCTGTAACACTTCTTCTGGGTTGCTTGCATTCAATTCTGTCTGGCCAATGGCTTTGATCTTTTCAAAACAGAAAAGTGAAATTATTGGAGATCTAGTCAAAAATTAAGTCTCGGTAGTATACATAGTATAAAGCTACTTATCTGCTAATAATAAAGTTAGTTGAATGATTAGCTGAATCTCTAATTGTAAAACCCAAGATCTGTGGAAAAAAGTAACAATTGATTTGAGCTGCTCTTAAGGAAAAGATTAATCGCTGAACCATGATTTGTGGAATCATCTTTGGTCACATTTTACTACATTGGGTAAATTCAGGTATGTTTCCATGAGTGAAAAATACAAGTAAGCCTTCCTAAATGATTTGACAGTTTTACAGGTGAATTGTTAAGGCTCCAAAACGTAGCTTGAAAAAAAAAATCACAATTCAAATTTCAGGGCTTTACTTTTGTTTTTTGAGACAGTCGTGCTTATGTAGCTCAGGCTGGTCTCCCAAGTGCTGGAATTTTAAGTATATACTACCATGCCTGGCTAGTTTTACTTTTTAAAAATTTTTATTAGTACATGTTTGCAGCACATAACAATTACATTTATCGTGAGGAGCTGGTACACGCACCTAACACATCAATTCTTTTTCCATTCCCTCCCCATTCCCTGCTCTATATTTGGGTTTCCCTTTCCCATGTGAAAAAGATCTCCCTGTTCTAACATGCAAAAATAGTTAGCTGCTCAGCACTAAAAAGGTATATGAGGCTTGCCTTTCATAATTAGAAAGTTTTTCACCTATTAAATATCCATAGTAATTTTCTGCTATAGAATGTTTAAATGCGAACAGTTTAGGACCCAGGAATCTACACAATAGATTTTTTTTTAAAATACAAAAACAATAATTAGAACTTCTTTAAGTAAGACTATTCTGTACATGGCTATAAAATCCAAAGTGTAAGACAAGTTCAAATGGAAATGTGGTATGTGTGAGAAATAATACACCCATCTGGGGAGCAGTCAAAACCATGAGTGTATGGGATTAACCAGGAAGGATGGGAGGGAGTTTGATCAGAAAATAACTGAAGGGTTAACTTCTTGGGAAACTAAGTTAAGACTGGGCAGAGAGATCACAAGAAAGAAAAAGGAAGGAAGAACAGTCAGGGAAAAGAATCAAGTAGATTTCAGGGAAGCCATAGAAATAAAGAATTTCAAGAAGGCAGGAAATTAAAATCCATTGGCTTTTGCATTTGGTACCCTTAAGAGAATGAAAAGTGGTGATGGCAAAAGTCAGACTGCGCTGGGCTGAACTCAAACATCAAGCAGAGGGTGAGAGGTGGCTGGTGGCGGAAGCACAGTCAAAGGTTTTTATTAAAGATGAAGGAATTTACAGACTGCAAGGGGCCAATGATACAGGCAAGGGTATGACTAATTAAAAGATCCCAAGGAGGGCCAGGGATTTAGCTCAGTGGCACCGCACCTGCCTCGCAAGCACAAAGTCATGAGTTCAATCCCTGGTACCAAAAAAAAAAAAAAAATCCCAGAGGAGACAGAATCAAAAGCTTCAATATTTGCCTTTAAAGAGATACTAGTAACTTCTTATTGACCTGAAGAGTGGGTTATTTTCAAGGTAGAAACCAGGGGCTTGATAAAGAATTTGAAGCCAGTGCTCCAACAGTTACACTTTCTAGAGCTATAACTTCCATAATGACAGGTCTAGTTGGTCTTTTTTCTGCTCTATCCCAAGCATGCAAGAGCCAAGGAAATTACTGAAAATGGAAATAGTTGAGGGCAGGAACTTAACACAGGGGATGTCTAAAACTCCCTGAGAAAAATGTAGCTTATTAACAAGTCACAGGTAAAACAATTTTAAAAGCTGAGAAGGGATCGAATGTTGGAGTCTATGGTTCAGTAATGGCATGCTGGAATAGCTGTAGGACTTTTTCCAAGAAGACTCTAAGACTTTTCCAAAACAGGTAAACAAAAATCCACAAGATGCTGAAATATTCACCAAAGACTAATTCTGGCAGTCAACTACTGTTAGCTAAAGTTCTCAAACCTGGCTCATCAGGGTACCTGGGGAGCCTCACCTAAGACTGAATGAATCAGGCCTGCTTAGCGTGCACACACTGGCATTTGCTGCACTCAGGATGAGTATGGAAGGAGGGAGGACAAAAGGGATGACAGACTGGTCATAAGCCTGAACATCGCACTGATCATGGCTGACAGTAAGGTGTGGCTATGCCTGTAGGTGGCTGGCCAGAGGAAAGGTGATAATCAGTACAACTGAGGCTGCAAAAGCCTGTGAACATAAGTGATGGCTAAGTTCATCATGTCTTTTTGATGCATGTGTAGGAAAAGCCACCCAGTTTAGGTGAAATACAAGATAAGTCTCAAAGAAAGGGCTTAAAAAAATGACACAAGTAAGAATGGTTTGGAAATGGTAAAGGAGGGCTGAGGAAATTTCAACTGCCTCCCAGCTCCAGGTAAACGATAGAATGAGTAGCCTCCAATCAAGGGGGCAAGTTCGTGTTACTTTTTTTTTTTTAAAAGGTGCTGTTGGTCTGTTTTCTTAAACAATAGGTATACAATTTAGTCCAAGTGCAAAGCTTTAATCCAAATCAAAGCATCTACAGTAAGTGATTACTAATGTGGCAAATGTTAGGTAGTTAATATAAAAATTAAAATGTTAGGGCCAGGGATTTAGCTCAGTGGTTCCGCCGCCTGCCTCGTAAGTGTAAGGTCCTGAGTTCGATCCCCAGTACCAAAAAAAAGGGGAAAAAAATTAAAATGTTTTGGCACAAAAGTCAAATTTAAATAATTCACCTATTGGGCACCTACTACATGCCAAGCACTACTCTAGTTACCAACTATGAGCAAATCAATTCCTTATCTTCATGGGGAAACAGCTCATGGGGGCGTGCAGGGTGGGGGACATATTTTAAGCTGGTCAGGAAAGGGTGTCTCTCCCTGAGAGATACCTAAGGGAAGTTGAATGTTCTGAAAAGAACCTTTCCAAGTGCCCTAACTGGGGGATGAATGTCCTTGACTGTTCACACCCCATGGTGGTACTGGCACAGCAAAGCCAACAAGGGCCAGGCTAGGGAGTCAGACGGGAGAGCCAGAGGCCAAGCCTTATGTGGCTTTGTAGCTGTGTAAGAACTTCGGTGAGACGAGAAACCATATGAAGATTTGGAGCGCACAAATAACATAATCTAGTCTTTTAAAATAAAATGGAATATCTCATACTATCAAAAAAGGATCTTTTAAAAACTAAACACTGATAACCAAATTCTTGCCATAACTGGGCACACAGTCTTTTTTGTTGTTACAAATGCTTAGTGCTTAAAATCTGGAAACTTAGGTACATCCCTGAAGAAAAGACAGAGTAACTTACCGCAATTTGTCTTTTATCTGTTTCTCCTCTTTTATGATGAAGATCTGATCGAATGAGTTAAGAATAATGAATTCGGGGCCGGGGATTTAGCTCAGTGTTCTGGTGCCTGCCTCGCAAGCGCAAGGTCCCATCAATCCCCGGTACCAAAAAAAAAAAAAAAAAACCAAGAATAATGAATTCGATCTCAGGATAGAACGCAGGATAGTTTTTAAATTTTGATTTGGAAAATACATACTATAGGGGGCCGTGGATTTAGCTAAGTGGTTTCACCGCCTGCTGCGCAAGCACAAGGACCTGAGTTTGATCCCCAGTACCAAAGGAAAAAAAAAAAGAAAATACATAGTATGCAGAACTTAATTTGCAGAAACGAACTGTTATAAAATTACAAACGTGGACGGAAGGATACAAGTCAAGTATTCCAAGATGGTAACATCCCAAATGTAGTCATAGTAGGAGTCCATAGCATCATGACTGAAAAAGGGAATTCTGTCACTACTCCTTTCTTAAGCAGAAAACCCTCATTTATTTTAAAAACCATTCATACCTGTTTTGTTCCTGCAGTGACTTAAAGGCTGTTTTGTAGTCAATTTCTCTGAGGAACTGACATAAAATTGCCACCTACAAAAAAAAGATTTGAAACTGAAAATGGTTTCATGTAATAATGACTCTCCTGGTTTTGGTGTTTTGAGACAAGGTCTTGCTATGTAGTCCAGGCTGTCCTTGAACTCACTATATAACCCAGGCTGGCCTCAAAGTTCTGGCAATCCTCCTGCCTCAGCCTCCCAAGTGCTGGGATTACAGGTGTGCGATACCATGCCTGGCAATCTTTAATTATTCTTATATAAAGAGTATTGTTTTTTAAGAAACCTTGCAGACCACTCCAAATGGATAGTTTTGGGTTCCATCCAATTTTAATTTCAAAAACCTTTACTCAAGTGTCTGACCCGTATTTTCTTCATTTGTGACATAAACTACACATTTTGTGAGCTTTGTTTTGCTGAATGAGAAGCTGGTGAACAGCCAGTTCAGAAAACTGAACTGAAGGGGATGGAAAACCGCCAAGTGAAAGTCAGGACATTCAAGGACATACAGAACATGCAATGAAACCTTAAAGCACACAGTCCAGTGGTTTTTAGCATATTCACAAAACTGTACAACCATCGTCATTATTTGGTTCTAAGACATTTTCATTACCACCCTCTGAAAAAGCCCTATACTCATTAGCAGAACTCTCCATTACTTCTCTGAAGCCTCTGTTAATTTATCTGTCTGCAAATCAATCCTTCTGTACATTTGCTTATTGTGGTCATACATGCGGCTTTGTGTCTTAGTAGTCTTTCAAGGTTTATCCATGTTGTAGTGTGATATCCATATTTCATTTTTATGGATGAGTACTATATGGATATACCACATTTTATTAGCCATTCAGTTGATGGACATTGTGGTTTTTCTACTTTTTGGCTATTGTGAATGCTGCTGCCATGGACATTCATATACAACTATTTCTGTGGACATGTTTTCAATTCTTGTGGATAATTACCTCAGAACTGCTGGGTCATACAGTAATTCCTATGTTTAGCTTGCTGAGGAACTGACAGCTGTTTCCCAAAGGCTGTACCACTATATACTCTGACCTGCACAGGAAGGCTAATTTCTCTACACCCTTACCTTATTAGATGTCTTTGATTACAGCGATCCTAGTGGGGATGAAGCACTATTTCAGTCGGTTTTTATTTACATTTCCCCAGTGACTAATGTAAATATATATAATGTTAAATATAAGAAAACCTAAGAATGACTCTTTTCCATTTAGGAGGTTCAAAGTTCAGTGTTTTCTAATTCATACTTGCATTTTAGTCAAAATTCTACAAACTACTAAAATAAATTTAAAGAATATGCCAGACTCTTGAACACCATTAATTTAAGTAATTTTGATATAAAAGTTATTTCCCAGTCTCATGTTTTCTATACTATTCCTAACACATATGAAAATAAACCAATATATTATTAACTAACCTGTGTGTGGCAATTCAGCAAAGAACAACACTTTATCATTCGTTTTATTACCTACAAAACAAAATTATAATAATTTTTTAAATCTAGTTAACATTGATTTTAATAAATGTACCACTCTACTATGAGAAGGAAGAAAAGGGAAGCTGTAACAGTGAGAAAGGCAGCAGTTTATGAGAACTTTCCACTATTTGCTGTGAATATAAAAATGCCATAAAAATAAGCTAATCAGGGCCGGGGATTTAGCTCAGTGGTTCTAGCCCCTGCCTCGCAAGCGCAAGGACCCAAGTTCAATCCCCAGTACCAAAAATAAATAAATAAATAAAAATAAGCTAATCAAAACTGGAAAATCTTATTTCAAAAGCTATTTACTCTACTGAAAAATGTCATTTGCTACGTTATACTGGTGGCCTAAATCAGAGGAAATAGCAATGCATTTTAAAAGAAAAATGAGCCAAATTCTATACCAGAGGTGGAAGGGGGAAGAAATGGGGCAAAGAAGTCAAAGGGCACAAATTTGCAATTAGGTGGAGTAAGTCTAGCGATCTAATATTCAGCATAAGGAATACAGTGCATAAAGAATACAGTTAATAACAATCTCTCATAGGGCTGGGGATATGGCTCAGTTGTATAATATGTGCCTAGCATGGGCAAGGCCTTGGGTCAATACACACACACATACACACAAATAATATTGTACTATAGCTGGGCACACACCTGTAATCTCAGCACTTGGGAGGCTGAGGCAGTCGGATTACCATGAGTTTGAGGCCAGCCCTGGCTACACAGAGGGGCTGTCTCAAAAAAAAAAAAAATTGCATACTATAAAATCTGCTAACTGATTTTAGGTGCTCTAATCACACAAAAAAAGAGGGCAAATGGAAGGTGATGGATTTGTTTCACTGTTGCAATCGTACATCAAAATACATTACGCTGTTTGCCTTAAACACACACACACGCACACACACATGCACACCCAGTAGGGAGGAAAGCTGGAGATTCAGAAGACAGAATAAAAATGATTTGAGAGTTGAGGGTACACTGGTGATCGGATCATTAGTTAAGGAAAAGAAAAGGGTGATGCTCAGGTTCAGGCTTGCTCATTTCAAATGGTTAAATAGAAATGTTTGGTATTTTTAAATTGTGGGGGTTGTTTTGTTTTCTTGTTTCTTGAAAGGGCAAATGAGTTTATTAAGAGGGGAACCTGGTAAAGTAAAATCCTAAAATCAGGTTTGGAGAAATCAAAGCAGCAACAGGCATTAAAAATATGGGCATGAAATTACCAAGTACAGATGCTCAATAGAATTGGTTTTCATGTCAGCTCCCCAGCAGGCAGCCCAATCCCTATGTGGTGGCAAACCCCTTTCATGGTTGACAATTTAATTCTCATCCTCAGGCCTTGCCACGAACTATGTAGACATTGTTTTTATTAATCTTTAAATGTTTTACCTTCCTCCCAAGCACTCAAAATTGTGACTACTCTGCATTTCTAGTTCTCAAAAACTTGCCTTTTCATAACATGGTACATGCTTCATGACTTCATGTGATCCATCCAACAAGAAGGTGGCTGGACTGTATTCCATAAGCCCTGGCATAATGAGCATCTCGGCACTCTTTGGTTGAACAATGCCTGACCTATAGCAAGCCCCCTTTCCTCTCCTTGAGAATGAGAGGTAAAGCAGTAGACTGCAGCTAAGCTGGTGATCATGTAGGAAAGAAGACTGGACGCTTCCTGTGGAATTCTCTTGGAATGCTGACTGCATTAGGAAACTCAGAACCAAACATTCGCTTGGTCAGAAAATGTCTTCCCAAGAGTATGTAAAGGTGCATATCTCCAATGATGAATGTCATTATGTTGTACACCTAAAATGTACCAATAAAAGGATATACAAAAAAAAAAAAAGAAAAGAAAGAAAATGTCTTCCCGTTTTAAGTTTGGCATCCTTCCTGTTACCCTAAAACATGGCCATTGTGTCAAGATTCAAAGAAATCTTTGGAATTGTACAGCTCTATTGTACCGCTTCCTTTCTGTTGGTTAAAGGATGTACACTTCATGTATTAAAGGGTATTTCATGTCAGAAAAAAAAATAAGGGCATGAGGGCCGGGGATTTAGCTCAGTGGCACCATATCTGCCTCATAAGCGAAAGGTCCTAAGTTCAATCCCTGGTACCACAAAAAAAAAATAAATAAATACAGGCATGAGAAATATAGAGCACAATCTGATCTAGAACTGTCAACTTGGGAACTGAAATTCAGTTAAAGAGAAACTCAAAATATAAAGAGCAAAATGAAAAAATTAAAGATAACAGCAAGTAGGGAAACAGATCTTTCGGAAACGGGAAGGGTGAGGGAAAGGAAAGAAAGGAGGGAAAAGAATCAGGATGTGTGATGCCCATGTACCAACTTCCCATGAGGAATGTGATCACTGTGGACTGCAAACACGTACTAATAAAAACTGAAAACAGAAGGGGCCAGAAGAAAACCATGTAAAGGTAGGCAAAAAAGAAAGCAAACGCACAGAACAAATTACCTGGTCGGTATAAACATCAGGGGGCACAGCCTTATTAAAGAAATCAGAACAGACAGCTCCTGCCTGGAGGTAATAATGAAGGGCGGCTGAATACTGATTTGTTGCTGAAATAGAAAACAGGTAAACTACTGTCATTAAATCTAAGAGTTAGAAGAAATGGGTTCTTTTAAGAAGAGTCAAGTATAACTTCATGAGTTGCCAAAAGCAGATTCAAACCACAATAAAACTTTATAATGATTCAGGACAACACTGAGAAAAACTGCTTTTATTTCCTTTAATCACATATAAAAGGCGATAAAACACACTTTTTCCTAAAACTGACCAGACAAAAAAATTTAGCTCAGATTTTTCACCAAATTTAACAGTATAGAATTTAGTATCAGCCCAGGGATTTAGCTCAGTGGCACCGTGCCTGCCTTGTAAGGTCCCAAGATCAATCCTCAGTACCAAGAAAAAAAATTCAGTATGGGAGGGTGTGTGCTTATTTCCCACACGTCCAAACTACAAATATATCCCAGTTTTCTGGCTAGTTCAGAATCAGTATATCTATTCTGCAAGTAGATATGAAGGTCTTGGTGATATATTCTTTTGGGGACTGGGATGAAAATGAACATTAAAAATCAGCCATTATTTGCTTCAAAATAATCTGAAGGAGAAAGGAATAATGTAGGAAAGAGTATAGAAGAAATGGGACTAGCCATGACTTACTGTTAAAACTGAATGGTAGATACATGGAGTTCATTACACTATTTCTTTTACTTTTACATTTTCAATTTTCTCTTTAAAAAAGAAAAATCAACTCCTAAAGCCAGGTGCACCAGTACATGCCTAAAATTCCAGCACTCTGGGAGGCCAAGAAGAGGATCACAGGGCCAGGGATTTAGCTTGGTGGTTCCACTCCCTGCCTCGCAAGCACAAGGTCCCGAGTTCGATCCCCGGTACCAAAAAGAAAAAAAGAATGTTTAACAGTGTACATAAAAAAATACTATTTGTAAAAAGTCAACATTAAAAACATCTGAAGCAAAGGTTCTACACCAAAATAAATTCAGTTTTACACTCTTAGCAAGAAAGATGAGTAATTCAAAAACGAAACATAATAAAGTTTAATAAAATACTGTAATAAAATATATATCATATTTACTTTCACTTCCAGGAGGGCTATAAAAATGAAACACAAAGCAACCAAACATCTCACTTACCAAAATAAATGTCTGCCTGAATAATTAACCAGGAATGGTTGTTTGGATTTATACTGAGCGTGTAACGAACTAGCTCTTTCACTGTGATTGCTACAGCTTCAAAGTCCACAGACTGGAGGCTAAACGAAGGATACTTAATGTTAATCTCTATTTTAAAAGTCAATTTCAAATCCCATACATGCATTTACTGAAAACGCGTACAAAAAAAGCTCAGCCAAAATTTCTGTGGCTATAAATATAAAAACCCTCATCCTCTGCTATTACAATTACTGTACAGGCAACAAAAGAAAGACTCACAACGTTTCCTCAAATGCTTTTTACGTTCTGATGTCTAGAAAAAGCCATAAAACATAAGGTATTGAACACTAAAAATACTTCTGTGTGTCCTCAAATCTATCTGTGGCTTCTTGCAAGAGTGACTGACTCCTGGGTGGGAGGTCCCACTGGCCCTAAGGATGGACTCAATGGTAGATGTGACAAGTCCACTTGTCAGTGCTTCGGGGAGCAACAGAGTCCAGAACAGGGCAGGGCCCAGGGCCAACTCCTGTGAGCTGGGGTGGGTCTGTGTGGAACCCGAGGTGCAGAACCAGAAGATGAAACTGTGAGGACAAAAGCCAGGAAGCACCAGGTAACAGCTAGTCTGCCTCCCGGAGGCAGAGGTGCAAAACACAGGCTGGCTCTTGGTGCAGACCCAGAGGGTCAAGTGTCAGCACCATCACTTACAAGGTGAATTTGGAAAAGTGCTTCCGCTGCCCTGGGGGTTAGACTTCACCATAACTCATCACTGGGCTCAACATGAGAAAGGAATTGCAGAACTATTAGCAAATACCAATCATTTAATTACAACTGAGTAAAACTGGTTTATCATTACATATTATAGACATCTGCAAAAATGTTAAGTCTAGGAATTCTATGTATGTGCAAGTATGTTCTAAAATAGTAATATCTAATCCAGTGACATCCTCATTATTCTTGGAATGCTATTCTTGGAATTCAATAAAGACCTTTGATCAGGAGAAATACCTTTCCAGGTCAAACATTTAGCCATACTTTAATGTAAAGTGACCCAGAGAAAATAAAGAATTGTCATCATGAAGATAACAAGCTTACTGTGTGCCAGACCTTATTTTAAGCACCTCACTTGGAAAACTTATTAACATAATTAATCCTCACAATTCTGAGGTAAGTACTGTTAGAGATGAGGAACTTGGCATAGAAAGCACTTTTCCCAAGATCACAGGCCTACCAAGTGCGAGAGGTGTTGCTCAGAGGCCCTATGATAAACCATTCTTTTGCCTCATTTATAAAGACAAACTAGAAAATCAATTATTACAGTCTAAACTCGGGCCAAAGAGGGGATAAACACAGTCAGTAAAGCCACCCACTAAAACAGCAAAATTAGGATCTGGGGCTGTACCTCAGTGGGAGAGCACTTGCCTAGCATGCACAAAGCCCTGGGTTCAATACTCAGCACAAAAACAAAACAACAATAACATTTCTCATTTTCTCTGATTTTTGTATTATTTAATACACAAGCTTATATAAAAAGTAGAAGACAGGCACAGTGGCACACGCCTGTAATTCCAACACTCCAGAGGGTGAGTTTGAGGCCAGCCTGGGCTACATATCAAGTTCAGAGTCAGCCTGAGCTACAAAGTGAGACCCTGTCTCCAAAGGAAAAAAAAGCACATTATGATGGAAGCTGCGGTTAGTGCAATGGACACACACACTTTCTTCGTAAGCACAATACTCCTTTGGGAATAAGCCTTAGTGAGCAGAGGACAGTGTCACAGCTGCTTCCAATCTCTATACCTAAGCTGGAAGCAAATTGCCTCTTTTTTGGTACCGGGGATCAAACTCGGGTCCTTGTTCTTTCGGGGCAGGCAGCGGAGCCACTGAGCTAAATCCCCGGCTGTAATCGCCTGCTCTCATGGCACTGCCTGCCTCCCTACCTACTAAAATCTTTTCTTCTTCAAACAAACTAAGAGCAATAAACTAAAGTGAGGGCCAGGAATGTAGCTCAGTGGCACAGTGCTTGCTGGCAAGGAGGCTGCCCTGAGTTCAATTCCCAGTACCAAAAATAATAATAATAATAATAATGATAATAAAAAGTTAGGACCTGCCATTTAGTCACAAAGTACAAAGATTGGGAGGAAGGCGCACAAGGGAAAGTAACTTTTAACAGAAGACAAATGGCTCACTTATATGAAAAGTTGCTATGTATAAAAAAAAAGAAAAACAGTTCTTTCTTCAAGAAAATTACTATTTTTCTTCCCTAAACAAAACTATCCTAGCCAGGCATGGTGGCACATGCCTATAATCCCAGCACTCAGGAGGCTGAGGCAGGAGGGTCACAAATTCAAGGTCAGCCTGGGCTACCCTGCAAGTTCAAAGTTCAAGATCAGCCTACCCTAAATAGCAAGATCCTGCCTCAAAAATAAACAAAAAAAATTACCCTGTCTTCTGAGATTCTCAGGTGATGAAAGGAAGATTTAAAGTAATTAAAGAAGTTCCTGTGTCAACTAAAGGGCTGGGAAAGCTTGATAACCTCAGTATTTGTAGAGTCCTACAGGGCCAGGGATTTAGCTCAGTGGCTCCGCTGCCTGCCTCGCAAGCTCAAGGTCTCAAGTTCAATCCCTGATACCAATAAAGAAAAAAGAAGAGTCCTAACAAAGAATTCAAGAAATTATGAAAAGACAAATCCCTTTCAAATAGGTCACTGATTTTCCAATTCTACTCACTGCCAGTTAATCAGAGCCACTTAAGATCTTGTTCTATCTTGTGCTAATATAACTTAGTTTTATGAAGATAATTACTCTAAGACAGCAACACAAAGTTGTCAGATAACAGATTTGTGACCTTAATTAAATTAACTAAAGGTCTCTATGCCAGTTAGGATGGTTTCTAAATATATAACTAATTTAACAAAATATGAACTATACTTCTACTTACTTTGGAATGGAAGATGGCCAAATAGAAATGTGTTCAGCAGTGATATCATTCACAATGTCTTCCTTTAAAAACAAAAACAAAGACAACAAAAAAGGTGTCTTATAAAGAAATTTCTTTGAAATTTTTAAAATAAAATTACAAAATACTAACCCGAACATTGTGAAGTTTCACAAAGAGTGATAAAATAATAGTCAAAACCAATGGCTCCTAAAAGAAAGAAAGTACATTATTTAAATTTTTCATATATATGTTTTACATATATATACACACACACACACACACACACACACACATACACACACACACACGCACTCACACATTAAAAAATAATTTCTTCTGTCAATCTCAAAGATACCAAGTATTTTCTTTCAAAAAACCCTTTCCTTTTTGGAATTTAGCATGTACTTTAGTTTAGAACACACTAAAGATCAACGTCATTTTTAATCTCATGAAAAAAATCCACACACTTCACGTAAGAGTTACCGATTTAAACCCCAGCTTGTGATGCTGACTCCAGGCTCATCTCCTTCTGTGACCTGGGTGACTCTGTGGTGCTGGGGACAAGCCCAGGGCCTCACACATTCAAGGGCAGTGCCCCCACTGCGCTGCATCCCCAGCCTGCTCAGATGACTGCGATCTCTGTCCAACTAATACTGCAGCTACTGCCCCAAAACTGACTTTTTATTCCTTAAAATAGCACTTAGAGTATAAAACCCAAGGTATAACCATTAAATACATGGCATTAATCATATCAAGAACATTTAAAAGCCAGTCCTCGTACATCTAGCCCTATTATAAAGACTTCTTTACAATTTAGAAAACACCTGTTCTATTTATTAAAACATGATAAATACAAAATAAATTCTCCATTTAGATTATCCTATCCTCGGTAAGGATTACTGAAGATTAAGCACATTAACAGGTCACTTTAGTAATCTAATTAGCATTTGAAGCACACGATACTTTTAGTCATTCTACAAAAATCAGCAACAGTAATTAAATCAATTTTAATAAAACTCACCCGTAATTTTTTGATAAAAGAAAGTAGTTCACTCCTACAAAAACAAAAAATTTTTAAAACACATTTAATATCAGACGTTAAAGGGCCGGGGATTTAGCTCAGTGGTTCTGCCGCCTGCCTTGCAAACAGAAGGTCCCGAGTTCAATCCCCAGTACCAAAAAAAAAAAAAAAAAAGTTGGGGGCTGGGGATTTAGCTCAGTGGTTTCATCGCCTGCTGTGCAAGCGCAAGGACCTGAGTTCGATCCCTGGTACCAAAAAGAAAATTAAATTAAATTTAAAAAAAATAATAATAAAATAAAATAATATCAGGCATGACAAACTAAAGCCAAGGGCCGGGGATTTAGCTCAGTGGTTTCGCCGTCTGCTGCGCAAGTGCAAGGACCCGAGTTTGATCCCCGGTACCAAAAGAAAAAAAAAAAATTAGGTAGTAAAAACTAAAGCCAAGAACACAAATTATAGGGTTAGGTGAAGTTGTTCCTAACCCACCAATTCTGCATGTATGGAAAGGAGTATGTTCTCTCGTCATAAACACCAATAACGTAATAACCGAATAAATTCCATTTTAATCACATGTGAATTGTTCAGTACTACACAACATTAAACACTGCTGACTTTGTTTTTTTTTGTGTTTTTTTTGACACTGCTGATTTTGAATTCCAGTTTGTTGGATTAAATTACTGACAACCTTTTTAAAGGAACAAAGTAAAGGCGGCCATAGAGACAGGTCCATCAGAGAGGATCACCATTAAATTCCTTTTTTTTTTTTTTTTTTTTCAGGTCCCAGGGATTGAACTTGGGACCTTGTGCTTGCCAGGCAGGCGGCGGCACCACTGAGCTAAATCCCCAGCCACCATTAAATTCCTAAGATTACCCACCTTTATGATACAAGCGTGTAAGACAACAGTAGATGTTCTTGAAACAGTACAGTTTGAAACAGTATGAAAAATTTAAAATTTTTAAACTTATACCTTGTAGAAATATACAGTACATACCGATACATTATGCCTAACGTGGATTCCCTCTGCTTTATTAAACTAACTCTGCCATCGTTTCCTCGCTTGTGCTGATTAGACACACTGCAGATCTGAACGACAACTTCCCAAAGGTCTTTAGCAGTCCGTCTACTCTCTTTGGGGCCTGGAAGTTCTTTGCATGTAGCTGCTAAAAGCTGTCCAAGCTATAACATGAAACAAACAAACAAACACAAAAAAGATAATGTGTTCCATGTCAGACACGGCACACTAGGGAAAAGGCGGCAACTGCCCAAACACACGAAGCAGTTATTTTGTGCTATGCATTCAACACCACCTCGGAGGAATTTAGGGTTCGCTGCTGACAGATCTGAATCTGAGGAAGAGCATCCTCTGGTTCTGCCATGTAAATGTCGACATTTCTGAACAATTATAGTACAATCTAATGACAGCAAAAACAAATAGATGCTATTGAGGACAAAACTGAGACAATGCAAAGAGCTACGTGATCTAGTAAGCGAAAAAAAGTGTTCAATATACACAGTATTTCCCTTTTAAAAATATCCATAATGAAATCATATGCAAGGTTTACTGTAGTGAAAGTGCAGAGATATTAAAATACTGCTTAAAGAGCAGGGTGTGGTGGTGCACACCTGTAATCCCAGCACTCAGAAGGCTGAGGCAGGAAGATCACTATGAGTTCAAGGTCAGCCTGGGCTACACAGTGAGTTCAAGGCCAGCCTAGACTACTTAGTGAGACCCTCTCAAATAAAAATAAACAAATAAATAAAATATTGCTTAGATTATACAGACACAAATTGCCTTATTTTTTTGTTATTGTTGTTGTTGTTTGTTTTTTTGAGGCAGGGTCCCCCTTTGTAATTTAGGCTGGCTCTGAACTCACAGTGACCCTCCTGCCTCAGCCTCCCGAGTGCTGGGACTACAGGCATGCGCCATCATGCCCAGCTACTCGCCTAATTTTTAAAGTGAGGAAAAGTGAGGAAATTGAAGTTGGCAGAACAAGAGAACAAGATTTAGAACAATTTCTCTTTTTTTTCTGTTTTTGGTGCTGAGGATTGAACCCAAGGCCAAACAACACTCTAATCTTTAGAGCAACTTTTCTCTAAGGAAAGCAGTAACAAGACAAACAGAACTACTATAAGATGAGGCAGCACTAAGAAAAGACAGATCATGATCCTAAAGTGGCCAATTTGATTAAAAGGAGCCTTAAGGAACTAAGAAACAGGTAAAATCCAAAAATAAAGAGTGGGAGATCTAAAAAGCAAGGTAGAGAAAAGAGGAATCAAACTCAGGACCTTGTGCTTGCAAGGCAGGTGCACTGCCACTGAGCTAAATCCCCGGCCCAGTGTGTCCTCAATTTTGATGTTCTCTGCTTTCAGAAACATTCCAGGTTACAGACGACAATTAAGAAGACTAAGCAGCATAAAATATAATTGGAAACACAGAGATAGGTCTTTTGCAAATGGGAAGGGAACCAAGAGATGGAGGAAGGGGAAGAGGACATAAAAAGAATCAAGATGCATCATGTACCAGCTACCCAAAGTGAATCATTATGTATTGCAAACATATCCTAATGAAAAAAAATTAAGTCAACCAGAAGTAAAAAAAATTAAGATGACTATATAAACTTTTACTGAATGAATTCTTTCATGCAAATGTAACTAATAGCAAATGTTATTAATTCATTAGATTCAAGTATATCAAACATAAGAAAAGTAAATAGGTTCTAAAGAACAATAAGATGTTCAAGTGGAAAATGGTAGAAGTCATCCCTGATAGTCTAGAGCTTGGTCATGCCGTAGCACTCAAAGCCAGGAAATTTAAGTAAATTTTCACTACCTTACGATTCTACCAAAGTACTGTCTGAATTTGTATCTTCCTGAATTATGAGCTATTAGAGAAGGTAAAGTACCTGAATTATTAAAAACTATGTTTTGGGGGGTTTTTTGGTACCAGGGATCAAACTCGGGACCTTGCACTTGTGAGGCAGGAGGCAGAACCACTGAGCTAAATCCCAGGCCTTTAATGTTTAACTACAAATCAAACAGTTGTCTTATCTTACACTTTGATTTTACAGAAATCAAACAAATTCCCAAAGTAGTATAAACTTAAACAGGTACAATAATACTACTGTAATAATAACTTTAGATTAAACATTAATTACCTTTACATATGGATTATTCTGAAGCAAAAATGCAGGAACCTGGAGTGTAAGATACTCATTTTCTCTCCAGTTTAACATAAAAGCAACACACTCCTCAGCTACAACTTGACGAAGAGGAATATCTAAAAAGCCAAAAAAGAAAAAAGCTGAAATTACCATTACAATATTAAAATGAGAATAAAGCAAACATCTGCTCAGATTTCAACTGAATAAAAGAAAAGCTACAAATGAAAACTACTAACATTTTATTCTCTTCTGTAGGAAGTTTAGCATTTCCCAAAAACAGATGGCCATGGCCCCCACTATTAATCAATAAAATTATTCCTGGGACATCTAAAAGCTAATAGGTGTTCTGTAGAAACTCACAATTCAAATGACCAGATAATAATCACACCAATAAAATAAGTACAAAATGGTATGGTATGAACTTTTCAGATATTTAAGCCAAGAAATGGGTAAACTATATAAAATTATAATAAATCCGTTAATATAAATTTATCCCTTTCAATAATTTTTCTCATTAAAATGTAATACAAGTCATTATTTCATTCCAAAAATATCTACTGTAACAGAAAGAATTTTAAAGTCACTAGAAGTATTTTGAACATTTCCTTTTAAATAAATATTAAAGACACCATCGGGCCAGGGATTTAGCTCAGTGGTTTCGCCACCTGCTACACAAGTTCAAGGACCTGAGTTTGATCCCTGGTATCAAAAAAAAAAAAGACACCATAATATGTTACGAATTTTTGTGGCTCCAGGTGGAATTTCAGGTTTTAATATACTTCAGGAAAAAGAACACAGAGACAATGGTAAGACTGAACAAGGACACTGAGCTCTCTCTTCTAGAGGACCTGTATTCCTCGGCCTGTCTACATTACTCAGATAATGCCTGTGGTTATTTCTTTACAGCTCTCTGAATTACCCCAAAAGGGGGAGAGGGGATTTGAAGTGATTTTTTTTTTTTTTTTTTTGTACCGAGGATCAAACTCAGGTCCGTGCGCTTGCGCAGAAGGCAGCGAAACCACTGAGCTAAATCCCCGGCCCTTGAAGTGATTTTTTAAAAAAATGCAAAGAAATACAGCAAAATAAATATATACTATTTGGATCATTTTATAAAAGACAAAAGGAAAACAGGGCTGGGGGTTTAGCTCAGGAGTTCCACTGCCTGCCTCTCAAGCACAAGGTCCCGAGTTCGATCCCAGTATCAAAAAAAAGGAAAACAAAGTGAAATTAAACTGGGAATGGTATCACACAACTGTAATCCCAGCACTAAGGAGGCTGAGGCAGGAGGATGGCTGCAAGTTTGAAGCCAGCCTGAGTTACACTGTGAGTTCAAGGTACCCTGAGCTATACAGCAGACTCTCATATTTTTTTTTAAAAAGTTGGACTGGTGGATCAAAATCACAGTCCTAACTTACTGTGGGACTTTTGGAAATTCTTTAACCTCAGTTAGTTTAACCTCATTTACAAAATGAGGACAATGAAATAGCAGCTACTTCACAGAGCTGCTGTTAGGACTGAATGAGGTATGCACCCAAAGCTCTTAGAACCACGTCTAACAGGCAGTTAGCACTACCAAAGGTTAAGATTTTAAAATTCTTCTTGCTCTGCAGAAAAATTATGTATGAAAAACGAACCTTTCACCTTTCAAAGTAAACCTGCACACAGATGTGTGTGTCCATCAACATTTAGTGGCAGCCAGGGATTTAGCTCAGTGATTCCACCACCTGCCTCGCCAGCTCAAGGTCCCGAGTTCGATTCCCAGTACCAAAAAAAAAAGTTCTGTCACAACATTTAGTGCCAGTCTACTATCAGATCCATTTTTATAGACATGGTATCGACTGAGCTAGTAATGCTCCAGGGTATTCTACATATAGTGCTAAAAAACTGGTTTACGACTATATCTCCTGCTAGAAATAAGAATATAAAAAAATCAATCTGTAAGACTGAAGAGGGTCAGCTGCTACCATATGGGCACACTGTGATCACCTTTTTGTGGTACTGGGTGTGGAACCCAGGCTTTCTGAACCCCAGCCACGTGTCCCGTCACTGAGCCACACGACAGTGTGAGAAGGCTCCTACTATGTTGCCCAGGCTGAGCCTCAAATGTGTCTGGACCCTTGAGTACCTGGGACTGCCACCTTGCCCAGTGTTAACACCTTCTTTACAATTCATTTTATTGCTTATAGTATTAAATGTACACAGTATGACTTAATTCTCCTAAATACATTTAAAACCTATGAAGGACCGGGGATTTAGCTCAGTAGTTCCGGCGCCTGCCTCGCAAGCGCAAGGTTGCGAGTTCGATCCCTGTTACAAAAACAAAAAACAAAAACAAAATAAAACCTATGAAAGTAAGAAACTGCTTTAGTGAAGATTTCTATACGACACAGATGACAGTTTATAGGCTCTACTCTTTCACAGTAAAATGTTTTACCATTGGAGAGTAGTCACAAATGAATTCCTGGCCACTGGCAATCAGTCTGAGGACATTTGCCAGGACTGAGGAAATAACTCTTCAACTCTTACACCCAAAGACAGTGATTAACAGAGTATCTTCAAATTCTAATATAAGCCAGGCATGGTGGTACATCGCTGTAGTCCTAGTGACTCAGGAGGCTGAGGCAAGAGGATCATTTGAGCCCAGGTGTTCAAAGCCAGCCTGGATAGCATAGCAAGACCTTGTCTCAAAAAGAAAAGATTTGGGGAGAGAGAAGTGTGATTTTTTTTTTTTTTGGTACTGGGGATCGAACTCAGGTCCTTCTGCTTGCAAGGCAGGTGACAGAACCACTGAGCTAAATCCCCGGCCCAAAGTGTGATTTTTATAGTGTTGAACAGTCGCACAAAAGTTCACGGGCACCTGGAACTTCAGAATGTGACCTTACTTGGAAAAAAGGAATAAGATCTCTGCAGAGGTACTTAGTGAGATGAGGTCTCAGTGGTGTAGGGCAGACCCTTTATCCAATGCCTGGTGTCTTTCTGGAAGAAACACATACACCTGAGCGTGCATACACATGCAGGGACACAGAACGCTGTGTGAAGATAGAGACAGAGACTGCCACATTGCAGCTACGAGCCAAGGAAATACCAGAGATGACCAGGAGCTTCCAGAAGCTCAGAAAAGGCAACGAAGGGGCCGGGGATTTAGGTGGTTTCGCCGCCTGCTGCACAAGCGCAAGGACCCGAGTTTGATCCCCGGTACCAAAAAAAAAAGAAAAGGCAAGTAAGGTCTGGCCCTAGAGGCTTAGGGAGCAAGGCCTGAGATACCTGATTTCACAGGTCCAGCTTCCAGAACTGTGAGAAAACCTTCTGTTAAGTCACTCAGTTTGTGGTACTTTGTAATGGAAATCTTAGGAAATAAATAGTTTTCTCCAATGTTCTCAAGTGAACTCCACTGCCAAATTATGTTTCAGGAGAAAAAAAACTTTTTTATAGATGGTAAAAAGACAAATAAATGTTCTTTTATACATAGTAAAAAGTCAAGTTTTTTTTTAGAATTACTTGAACGCTGAATTTCTGACCTGGGCTTTAGGAACCAGCCTTACCAGGAAGCCTCATTTCCAGGTATCCTCGCACCCTGCTGATGAGGTCGGAAGGAGGTCTCTCTCCTGACTGCCCCACTCCAGCTTCGTGCGTGTGAATATCCAAAAGCAACATCTCATTCAGCATGACCTGACGAAGTTTCGGTGAGAACTCTGTTACCAACTCCAAACAAGCAGCAAACAGCTGTTTAGCATGGGGAAAGTCCTATAAAAGAAACAACGAAACAGCCGGGGTCATTTTCCCTCTAGAATCAAAATCTGTGTGCCTTCTTGAGTATAATATACTCAATCCAATACTGAGTATTGCATTGGGAAGACTCAACACACACACAAGAAATAAATGCCAAGTATCACAATTCTAAAGCGGTCATACGTGGAAATGATAATTTAGATATATTGAGGTGAACACCTCAGCTGCACCTGTACAAGTGTGGGCTACTAGGTGCTTGCCTAGCATGCATGAGCCCCTGGATTTGATACCTAGCACTGAAAAAATAAAAGCTTTTTAAAAAGCAGGCTACTAATATATCACAAATTACATACATGGCTCCAATTGTATTTCCACTGCTCATTTTGGTGTGGAGCAACTTTACCGTGAATCACAATTCCCTGGAGGGCTTACGAACAGGATCCTCTGTCTCATCTCCAGAGTTTCTTGTTCAGAAGGTCTAAGGTGGAACCACCAATCTGCATTTCTAACAAGTTTCCACATGTCACAGATGCTGCTGGTGTAGGACCATGAGAATCACTGGTCCAGAGCACTATCTTCAAAAGATTCTCTGGCCAGGGACTTAGCTCAGTGGTTTGGTTCCGCAGCCTGCATCAAAAGTGCAAGGTCCTGAGTTTGATCCCTGGTACCAAAAAAAAAAAAAAAAAGATTCTCTGGGCCGGGAATTTAGCTCAGTGATTCCACCACCTGCCTCGAAAGTGCAAGGTCCCAAGTTCGATCCCGGGTACAAAAAAAAAGGTACTCTGCTCACTTCCTGCTTAAAATAGTAATGTAAAGCTGGGCATGGTGGTGCACACCTGTAATCCCAGCACTTGGGAGGCTGGGGCAGGAGGATCACTTCGAGTTCCAGGCCAGCCTGGGCTACACAGTGAGCTTAAGGCCAGTCTGAACTACATAGTGAGACCCTGCCTCAAAAAACCAAAATGAAAAAAGGTAAAAGTATTTAAATGCTTATATAAATTTTTAGTTGGAAAATTCTTTTACTTTCAGCTTAAGTTTGAGGAAATGCAAAGGATATTATTCCTGGTATAGTGAAAATACTGACTTTTGAATAACTGTATCTTGTATTTTTAAAAGCATATATACAATTTAGGGATACATGTAACAATATACATACAATATTTATACAATGAAAATTACAAAACATTTCAAATATAGGAAAACCAAAGGATTGACACCATTTCGTTTCACAACTTACTATAAAGCTACAGTACACCTCCCTCCCAGCCTGTTTTCTTTAGTAGGCAGGTACAGGTCAACTGTGAAGAGGATGGGAGTGGAGAACTAACATGACATGAGGAGTATATATTTTCAGGCAGATCCATGTTAGGGAAGAGTGCAAAGAGAAGATGCAAAGTCAGAAACTGCTCTGGTCCCCTTAAAATTATGTCTACAAAGCCAGCACAATGGCACACAAGAGTAGCTCCCAGCTCCTCAGAAAGAGGATAATTTGACCCCAGGAGTCCAACAGCAGCCTGGGCAATATAGTGAGACCCCATCTCAAAAAGAAAACTCAAGAGTGGCGTAGTGGTGCATGCCTGTAATCCCAGCACTCGAGAGGCTGAGGCAGGAGGATCACTGGAAGTTCCAGGCCAGCCTGGGCTACATAGTGAGTTCAAGGCCAACCTGAACTATACAGTGAGACCTTGTCTTGAAAAAAATGAAAGAAAGAAAGAAAGAAAGAAAGAAAGAAGGAAAGAAAAGCAAGAAAGCAAGCAAACTCAAAAGCCTACAATGTCTACATTCTCGACTACCTCTAGTTGTGGGTTGAGCTAGGAGATTGCTGGCGTGGAAACACCAACAAAGCTCACCGGAGTCTTTACGGACTGGGTCTTGATTCCCCATCACAATTCAGGCCTGCCTCACCTCACACAACAAATGACAAGCTATTCATAACTACTTGGTTCCAGTCCCTTCATATCATCCTTGTCTTTGAGCATTTCCTCATGGTATCATCTTCTGCCTTTAATATCTTCCACCTTCCTCTTCACTTAGCTAACCAATTTAAAGTCTAGTTTTAGGTCAGGAGTTCTAACTTCAAATGCTATCTGCAGTCTTCCTATAGAATGAGAAAACTACACTGTCTGATATGATTTAACAGTTCCCCGAACCTCCTTCCCAAACAGACTACAAACTTCTTATATAACACAAACTGCAAGCTGAATGTGGTGGCGCACACCTGTTAACTCAGCTACACAGGAGGCTGAGACAGAAGGCTCACAAATTCGAGGCCAGCCTGGGCACCTTACCAAGACCTCATCTCAAAATAAAAAACAGGATGTGAAGGCGAGCTGGCTGCGACATCTGTCACCCCACTGATGGCCAGGGCTCATTTGGCTGATACGGCAGGCTAAGAGCTCATCAAAGAGAACACCATGTCCAATAGAGGAGGACTGTTTCCATGGTCAAGGGCACACGAGTAGCTGCGCTCCCCTGATAAAACCTCCAAACAAGCTCTCAAAATAAAAAATAAAAAGGGCTGAGGATATAGCTCAGTGGCAGAGCACCTCCGGATTCAATCCTCAGTACTTAAAAAAGAAAAAAGTGGGCCGCGGATTTAGCTCAGTGGCACTGCGCCTGCCTCGCAAGCACAAGGTCCTGAGTCCGATCCCCAGTACCAAAAAAGAAAAAGAAAAAAGTAAAATCAGGGAGGCTTTAAAAAAGATCTTTGTACACAAGCTTTAACAACTGAATCCTAAAGAACACAAATAACACCTTTCATGTTCTCTAGGTTTGTTTTTGTTTTAAACAGATGTTGCCCAAGCTTGCCCTAAACTCCTAGGCCAGTGATGGCAAACCTGCACAGCTTTCGATGATGTAAGCAGCCCACAGCAGCACATGTGCCATAGGTTCCCCACCACTGTCCTAGGCTCAAGCAATCCTACTGCCTCAGCCTTCAGAGCAGCTGCAACTATAGCACATGCCACCTCACCTGGCTTCTAGACTTTTTTTTTGGTACCGGGGATCGAACACTGGACATGGCGCTTTCACAGCAGGCAGTGGAACCACTGAGCTATATTCCCAGCCCTAAACTTTTAAAAAAGCAGAGTGGGCAGCCAGGGATCTACCTCAGTGGCACCATACCTGCCTTGCAAGAACAAGGTCCTGAGTTCAATCCTCAGTACCAAAAAAAAAAGCAGAGTGGTATCCACATGTCCAAGATCATTTTGGTAAAATTAAGAGGGCAAAGGAAAAAGAACTAAAACCCTCCTTTTTCAAATGGCATTTTAGGCCTATCCTTTTAAGGCCTGTAACTATGATTTTAAGATGGGGGAAAAAAAAAGATTTTGATTCCTGACTGTCAAGATTATCAAAGCATATTCGTAAGAAGTGGTCAGTATACATTTTTACTCACCTTAACAGCACTGGAGTGTAAACCTTTGGCCATGAGAATGTAAACCAAATCTCTTGTTAAGTTGTCCTTAATTCCCAGGATAACACCACTATACACAGAAGGTACTTCCCACTAGAAGAAACAAAAATACATACACACATACAGAGAAGCCAGTTCTACAAGAGAATCTTTCAGTAATCGTCAACACATTAAAAACCATTCATACGTCATTTTCCAAATGAAGAGAAAATGACAGATATAATGACACGTGAATCAAAATGAACGTTTTCATTATAATGAACAATAACTAAATGGATTAAAATTTTCTAAAGGATAATGGATAGGAGGAAAACAAAAACTAGGGGCTTTATGTTTTAACTCATGTGAGCCTCACAACAATGCTATGCAACAGGTACTATCATCCCCATTTTGTTTTTTGGTATCGAGCTCAGGACCTTATGCTGTCGAGCCAGGTGACAGCACCACTGAGCTAAATCCCTGGCCCTTATCATCCCCATTTTACAAATGAGAAAACTGAGGCACAGAGAAGCAAACTGTCCGAGATTATGTAGCTTGTAAGTCCAAAGATAGGATTCAAACTTAAACAGCCAGTTGGTTCCAGAATTGCCTCTTTTAATTATTATGGTCTACTGTACTTCTTCACCTTCAAAAGTAATGCCAATAAATAGAATCAATACTAAAGAGGACCAATTATGGCTTACAATTTTTCATTTCACTGTACTTGTACTGTATGTATAGGTTATAAATGAATTTCTGGCTGCTTTTCCATTACACTTTCAGCAGGGGAAGAATATGCAATTTGTTAGTGCTGCCATGGTCCTTTAAATTTCTTCTGTGAAGATTATTTTTTTACTTCTAAGTTACAACCTATTGCAACGGTGCTTTAAAAGCTATTTTCAAACTGGGCATGGTGCTGCATGCCTATAATCCCAGCACTTGGGAAGGAGGCTGAGGCAGGAAGACCACCAAGAGCTCCAGGCCAGCCTAGGCTACACAGTGAGTGCAAGGCCAGCCTGAACTCCAAAGCAAGATCCTGTCTCAAATCACCCAAAGAAATAATAAATAAATAAAGCAAGCTACGGTTTTATGTGTACTTTCCATGCAGTAAAATTTTAAATAGATAACCTCATAAATAAATTTTATTTATGTGGGGGGTTTTAAAAGAACATTTTGGGGCCAGGGATTTAGTTCAGTGGTGCTGCTGCCTGCCTTGTAAGCACAAGGTCCTAAGTTTGATCCCAGTACCAAAAAAAAGAAAGAACATTTAAAGCCAAAAATGTTCTATAAAGAAGTTTTCAGTAAACATGTTTTAAGGTATAGGCTTTCAATTTCTTTTTTTTTTTTCTTTTTTTGTACCAGGGATTGAACTCAGGACCTTGTGCTCGTAAGACGCTTACAAGACACCCCGCAGCACCACTGAGCTAAATCCCCAGCCCTAGGCTTTCAATTTCAAAACTATTAAAACCAAAAATAGTGGGGCCGGGGATTTACCTCAGTGGTGCCACTGCCTCATAAGCATAAGGTCCCAAGTTCAATCCCCAGTACCAAAAAAAACCCCAAAAAAACCAGGGCCAGAAGTACATACAGCTCAGTGGTAGAATTCATGCCTGGCATGAGGTGGCCCTGGGTTGAAACCTCACTGTGGGGGTGGAAGGATACACTAAACAACACAGGGTAACTGTTAATGACCGTATCAACAATACACTTTACACATGTTTACAGCTGTATGAGAAATGCACACAGATGCTTTCACAATAACATCTAAGATGTTATCAATTTAATAGTATCTTTTCTCTCTTTGGACATTTCCTATTTTTTCTGTCAATGTATGTTAAAAGTACAATTATAGGGCCGGGGATTTAGCTCAGTGGTTCTGCCACCTGCCTCAAAAGCATAAGGTCCCGAGTTTGATCCCCTGTAGTACCAAACAACAACAACAACAAAAAAGTACAATTACAGGGCTGGGGATTTAGCTCGGTGGTGCCACTGCCTGCCTCGCAAGCGCAAAGTCCCCAGTTCAATCCCCGGTATCAAAGACAAAAAAAAAAAAAAAAAAACAAAGTACAATTACGGTCATGTGAAGGCCTGAAAAGGAAAACCTTATTCTCAAAAAGGACAGAGAGCAGCTCTTCTTCCAAATCATACTAGAAAACTAAGGCAATTAAAAAAAAACCAAAGTAATTTATACTTGTCTTAATAGAGGATTTCTCACCTTATTAGACACTGTCCAAAACTGACGCTCTGAAGTCATACCGTGTAACTCAATTAAAATCTGTCGAATCCTCCAGGGATCTACTGACAGTATAAGCTGATGTTCCAACTGGCCGATGTTGACACTTGCTGAGGCTGAAAGAATGGAAAAGAGTTTATTTCAATAATGATTTAATAATTTATTTCAGTAACGGTTTAATTTGAAGATAAATGTAAACCTATAAATATGAAAATGACAACTGAAACTGTTCCTTTAAGTATTATAAGGTAGAAGCAGTAATTATCTTGAGAATGGGCTCATTTAACATAATGTAAATCCTCATACAAAAAACCTATCACAATTGTATCAGATCTGCAGATGGTAAGTGAATCTATTTATGCCAAAGGTTGCAAGCTTTCTGTTTGTGCATAATATTCATATGTTACCCAGAAAAATTGAAAGAACAAGAATTCCAAGAGAAAAACTTTTATCATGTTCCACTGTTATGAGCTGTCCCAAAAATGGAACACTAGGCATAAAAGGATTAAAAGTCAATAATTGGTTCATGGAAAGAGTACGTGGGATACATGTAAAGAACTCATGTACAAAAGATTCCTACTTTTGAACAATATATAGTAATGATTCATACCTAAAATGTAAATTTTAAGCAGGGCATGTCAGTACACACCTGTAATCCCAAGTACTCTGGGAGGCTGAGGCAAGAGGATGGAAAGTTCAAGCCCAGCTTAGGTAGCTTAGTAATTTAACAAGACACTGTCACAAGATTTAAAAGAGGACCTTGGAATGCAGCTCAGTGCAAAGGCCCTGAGTTCAATACCCAGAGAACGAAAAGGAAAGTAAACTTTGTGTGTTTTTGGGGTTTTTTGGTACCGGGGATTGAACTTGGGACCTTGTGCTTTCAAGGCAGGCGCCAGAACCACTGAGCTAAGTCCCCAGCCCCAAAGAAAGTAAACTTTGATTAATAAATACTGAAGATGTAATAAAAATATTAAAGATGTGGTTTTTTGAGGGGAGAGGAAGAGGCATTACCTTCCCAGAGAACCACAAACGACCATTAAGATCCCCAATTACAGCTGAGCTATCAGACATTTTTCAATAACCCATTTCTGGCACTTTGTGTGAGTTAACATTATTTCTTCCTTTACACCTATACATTCAAACAGTTTAAACCTTTGGGCCGGAGATTTAGCTCAGTGGTTTCACCGCCTGCTGCGCAAGTGCAAGGACCCGAGTTCGATCCCCAGTACAAAAAAAAAAAACAACCTTAAACCTAGTGACAAAGCAACTAAAATTCTGCTTTTGTTAAACCAACTGAAATCTCTGCCTCACCTACACTGTTTTGAAGTATATGTTTCTTGCTAATAAGCAGCACTGTATTTCTAATTATACTGACGAAAGAGGGCAAAAATGGGAGAAAATTATCAAATAAATAACAAAAATGGAGAAGCTGTGGGTATTGCCCCTGGTAGGGTGCCTTCCCCACATCTGTGAAGCCCTGAGTATAATCCCCTGCAAGTAAAAATGTCGATAATGCCAAAGCAAAATACTTAGCTAGCAGGTAACAGCAACACAATATAGCCTGAAAGGCAAGAAGTACATACTTTGCTGGATCCCAGCATCCCTTACCACTCACCTCCCTCTTCTTGTTTTTACCTCCAAGAACATATTAGCAGTATGTTTACCTTCATCTATTTCCTAGCTAGTCTTTTATGTATTTATGCCTAAATCTTCATTAGCCATAGGTTCAGCAGAGTACTAGCATCTAACTCCTCATACAGAACCCTGATTACAGCAGACACAAACATTTCTATTAATTAATGACACAAGTATAAACTGAAGGAAACAGGAGGAAAGCCCTCATGTTAGTTTCAATGCAAGGACAAAATGGCCAAGAGCTTGCTTGGCTAGTGGCATAGAGAGCTGACCTGGGATATCATAAAATGAAGTTACAGGGTTAATGCACAGGTTTATCCTAGGTGATCTCTTCCTCATCTGGTCAACAAGCAGCTTTCGCTCTTCATCTTTCAACAATGTAATGAAAAGCTCATGTGAAGAAATCATGAAAACATATTGCAGATCTTCCAACCCCAGACATACATTCCTAGATCAGTAAGAAAACATTATAATACAAAAAGTGACAATTTACCTTTGGAAAAACAATCATGTCAACCAATTTTTATTAATAATCCATTTTAAAAGCGACCATTTCATAAATTATGTAACAATATCTTAAAATAGATTTTAAAATTTCCTTTGGCTGGGTGTGGTGGCTCATGCCTGTAATCCCAGCCCATGGGAAGCTGAGGGCAGGAGGATTGTCTCAAGTTTGAGGATAGACTGGGCTACATAGTGAGTTCAAGGCCAGCCTGAACATGGCAAGACCCTGTTTCAAAAAATAAATAAATAGGGCCAGGGATTTAGCTCAGTGGCACTGCACCTGCCGCAAAACTGCAAGGTCCTGAGTTTGATCCCAACCCCCAGTACAACAAAAATAAATAAATAAACAAACAAGTAAATAAAATTTCCTTTGGGTATTATTTCAAATTCTAATGTGAATGATACAATATACAAAATAAAAGTAACTGCATAATTCTAATGTTTCACATGGCTATATAAATTTGAACTTAACCTTAACTGGTTTTTCAAATATAAGTTACTCTCTGGGTATAAGATATACAGGACAAATACAAAAGAGACAGCTAATAAAAGATACTTTTCTCAGGCTGACCTGGAACTCACCTCTTTATTTCCAAGAGTTCCAAGTTTACAAAAAGAAAAGAAAGGTACTTACCTTAGAAAAGCAGCCATGTTTCCTTTCAAAGAATCTGAAGTTTTTTCTAAATTTACTGATCTTGAACATACCTAGAAAATTGAGTAATTTTCATTTGGATATGGTTACTTTAAAAAATGAAGATCATAATTTGAAACTTTTAACTTAAAAACAACTGACTTTTACTATTTCAACCATATATTAATCATAGATTTAGTTAAGTAACTTAACAGATAAGGCCAAGAAGCGCAAGGTTCCGAGTTCGATTTCCAGTACCAAAGAAAAAGATATGGTGAAGACCAAGAAGCATCCATTAGAAAAAGGGAATAGAAGGGCCTGGGATTTAGCTCAGTGGTTTCGCTGCCTGCTGCATAAGCCCAAGGATCCGAATTCGATCCTCAGTACCCAAAAAAAAAAAAAAATTAAAACTTGGTTTCCGGGCTGCCATACCACCCCCTCCACCAGCCCACAGGAGGTGAGCCACTCCCAGGGCCCAGCAGGAGGCTTCCCGGATGCCGTACCAACACCCTCAGTGCACAGGGGGTGAGCCACACGGGCGCCAGCAACACCCCCACACACACCTGTCAGAATGAGAAGACACGTAAACAAGTCTCGAAACCAGACTACCAGATCACCTAAAGCAACCCCAAAGGGAAACGAGATGGAACACTCTGATACTCAACCACCTACACTTCCTGAACTGGCAACAAAAGAGGATCTGGAAAAAATGAAATCAGAAATAATTTCTCAGATAACATCAAAGATTGTGCCCATAGTGCAAGGCATGATTAATAAATCTAGAGAGGACACGGATAAAAAAAATAGAGGACCTAAGAAATATGATGGAATCTCAACATAGGAAACAAAGGGAATCCATAAAACAGATACAAACAGATTTCCAGGAGATTAAAAACTCCATTTAGAGCCAGGGATTTAACTCAGTGGTTCTGCCGCCTGCCTCGCAAGTGTTAAGGACCCAAGTTCGATCCCCAATACCAAAAAACAAACAAACAAACAAACAAACAAAAAACTCCATTGAGAGTTTACACAGCAGGATGAGCCAATGTGAGGACAGAATTTCAGATATAGAAGATAAGACTGAAATTAGTGACCAGAAAAAAATTTCTATAAAATAGTAAAGGACCACAAGAAATCAATCCAGCAGCTGCTAGACAATGCAAAGAAGAATAACATAAGACTGATCAGAGTCAATGAAGAAAAAGGAGAGAGTGTAGATGACATAAAAAAACTGTTCACAGAAGTGATGGCAGAAAACTTCCCAAGCAAGGGAAAAGGACTTGACATACAGATAAGGGAGGTATATAGGACTCCAAGTAGTCATGATCAAAAAAAACTACACATAGGCATATAATTGTTCAGATTCCAGAAACTCAACAGAAGAACAAAATTATACAAGCAGTTAGAGAAAAGAAATAAATCACATATAAAGGAAAGCCCATCAGCATCACAGCAGACTTCTCAATGCAAACCCTCAAGGCAAGAAGAGCTTGGAGTGATGTAGTTCAAGCCCTAAAGGAAAACAGCCTTCAACCCAGATTGATGTACCCTGCAAAACTATCTTTCAAAATTGATGGGAATATACGATACTTTCATGATAAAGAGCACCTCAGGAACTTCATGAATACCAAACCAGCACTCCAACAAATTTTAGACAATACCCTAGGAAAAGACAATGAGGATCACAACCCCAGAAGTCCAGCAGGATGAATCCACTGGGTGTGACAAATTAAACACAAAGGGGGAGAATCCAACAAACAGAAAAAGTCTTGACAATGGTAAGTCTTTTAAAATGTATCAGTTATAACACCAATGTTAATGGTCTCAACTCACCAATCAAAAGAAATACACTGGGCCGGGGATTTAACTCACCTGCCTTGCAAGTGCAAGGACCCGAGTTCAATCCCCGGTACCAAAAAAATAAGAAAGAAAAAGAAATACATTGGCAGAATGGGTCAAGAAGCAAGATCCAACAATATGCTGCATACAAGAAACACACTTAATTCAAAAAGAAACTCATAGACTGAAAGTTAAAGGGTGGAAAACAATACTCCATGCAACAGGAACCCCAAAAAAAAGCAAGAGTAGCTATCCTTTTTGGAGATCAAGTGGATTTCAAATGAAAATCTGAAACACTGGTTCCAAGAATTTCAAATAAGGGATAATCAACTTGTATGTACAAATCTATTGTGAGCATGCATTTTCATTCCTAAGTAAAAACTTAAGAACAGGATTGTTGGTTCTTAACAGTAATACAAGAAATTTCTATATTGTTTTCCAAAATGGCTTTATCATTTTACATTCACATTAGCAGTATTAGTAAGTTCTAACTGATTCACACCTAAGCTGACATTTGTTCTTTTAAAACTTTTAACTTCATCTCCCTAATGAGTGTATGATACGATCTTGTTATTATACTGCTTAGTATTTTTGTAATTCTAGTGTTGCACACCTTGCCTTGTGCTGTACTGGGTATTTATCATCTTCTTATGTCTTTTATATTTATTTTTTATTTTTGGTACCAGGGATTGAACTCTGGTCCTTGCGCTTGCACAACAGGCAGTGAAACCACTGAGGTAAATCCCCAGCCCTACATCATGTTTTTTATATCCTAGGAAATTCTTGCCTACCCTAAATTCATAAACATTTTCCCTTATAATTTCTTCTTAAAGTTTTATAGTTTAAGTCTTTCATATTTAGGTTCATAGATCCTTTCAAGTTATTTTTATGTATGGAAATAAAGGGTTGAGGTTAATTTTTTTACATATAGACACCAGGTGTTCTAGTGCCATTTACTGAAAACACTATCTTTTCCTCTGCTCTTGAATTGTTTGTTCTATAAAATGTTAATGTTAAATAATCTTTCAAAACTCAATGATCATATATGTGTGGTTCTGTTTCTAGATTCTCTGTTTTATTCCAATGATCTGTATGTCCTTCCTTACACCAACATTGCCATGATTACTGCAGCTTTAAAGGAAGTCTTAAAATTAGGTAATGAATGTCTTCCAACATTGTTTTCTTTTCTTTTTACTTTTCTAGGTCCTTTGTACTCCTACATAACTTTTAAATTTCAATATCCAATTCTTCATTTATAGCAAGTATACATAGA